CAATGTTTTGTAGTTGAATATGGAATTTATTTCACTCGTGAGACAGGATTTTTTGATATTTTCACTCGTGCTTCGCACTCGTGAAAACATCAAAAATCCTGTCCCACTCGTGAAATAAATTCCATATTCAACTACAAAACATTGAATATCCTCTATATATGTCAATCCAAGCAATGTTGATTTGCCATGAGGTCATACTGGCTTCTAACTTTTGTGTCAAAAATAGTTTTTAAAGTAGAAAAGTATCTATAATAATCTTCATACTTTTGTCGTAAAATACAGTACCGACCAGACCCAACCTGATACCAAAGTAGTCCCAGAAAGCAGTCCCAGGGACTCCTTTGGGACTGCTGTGGGACTGCTCTGGGACTGCTCTGGGACCGCTATGGGACTGCTCTTGGACTGCTATAGAAAGCAGACCCAGCAGTCCCAGCTGTCCCTAGGACTGCTTTCTGGGACTGCTTTGTTCACTCATGTGTGAAAAAGGTTCTGAGTGACATGATAGCCCCGCCCCTTGTGTATTTTGAATTTGCAGGCTCCCTAAGCCTGTTGTTTTGTTTACTTGCAGCAGAGAGAAGTTTAAACTATTAAAGAAACAAGGGTTTCTTACAACCTTTTAATAGTTAGAGATTATATGCATTATAGTTAATTGATAGTTTAGGGACTGTGTATTTACACAAATGTAGTTGAGAACAAATTAAAAAAAAAATAAAGTTGTTAAATAAGAAGGAGATTTTTATCCCTTAAATAAGTTACATACTCATAAGAAAAATTATCTACATATAGGCCTATTTTATTAATAATAAGATTAAATACTCAAAATTTGCATTGGCACTATTTAAAAAAAAAATATTGCATTTAGATACAAGATTTTTTAATTGAAAAAGCCACATTATTTTACAACTACCACGCTAAAAAAGTATTCAATGCAACCCTCAAATAAAACCTAACGATTTATTTCATGATCATGAAATAAAATTATGCCACCATTCTTCCATGACATAAACAATGCGAAAAATCATTAGGAAATTTACAAATGAATTAGTTTTTAATATATAGGCAAGCTATTTAAAGAGTACATTAAAAAATAAAGAGTTGAATATACCGGGAATTGTGATTTATTTCTTTATTGTTTTGTTTGTGTTTACCTGGCCGATAATGTGTATAAATAACATAGTATGAATACCTGCGGTTTCAATCGCGTTTGGGCAGAAAATCAATCATGCATGTTATTTGGGTACACGTATCAGTGTTAAGGCCGGTATACACGATGAGATTTGTAGTATAATACAAGTTTTATAATACTTTTGTATGATAATATTTTCTTGTACTCACCCTAATACATATCTTATAATATTGTAAATAAACTACGTGTTTCCCCCGCCATAATTCTCTTTCTTTCAAAATAATTAAAATGGAGGATGAGGCTCTGATAGCAGTGTCTATCATCGTACTATGCACTGCTTGATATATTCCACAAGTCCTCTTCCCCTTCCCATATAACCACGAGTTTTTTTTATGTCTTTACTTGTAAAGTTGGCCATTATTATTAACCATGTACTTTTTGTAGTAATGATAAAAATAGGATGACCCCTAGTGTCATTACATTTCATTGGTTTAAAGTGATAGGTAAGTTAAGACTTGTATTAGGAAATAGAGCATTGCTCTATTCTAAATACAGTTTTATAAGATTCGAAAAAATCTTATGAAACACTGTATTAAGAGTGTATACACAGTAATATTTTGTATTATAATACAAATCTTATAATACAAATCTTACCGTGCATACCGGCCTTTACACATCATTAAACATGCTCCTTAATTAACAATGACCCTAATTTTAATCTATGTAAAAAATGTAATGTAAAAAAGACTAACGAAATGTGTATAATTTTTTTTCAGGATTTATTTTTTTAACATAATCTGAGGGTTCCATTCTGGTTATTTACAAATTTATACTCATGTATTTACAAATAAAACACTTATTATAGAGCTACGGAAACTTAAAATAATTTAAACTGACATGTCAGTAAAAATAATCATGACTGAAAAATATTACATGGCAAAATTAACAAACACAAGACGAAAGACCACCTTTAAGCAATCGCTTAATGGTAGCTTAATGGTGACTTAATGGTGCTTATAGAAGTTATCTCCTTTAAGCCACCATTAAGCTGCAACTTACAGGTGCTTAATGTCCAAACTTCATTAAGCTGCCATTAAGCCACCTTTAAGCCGAGCTTAATGGTGACTTAATGGTCAAACCTCATTAAACTTTTACCCATCTTATATCGAATCTTCGATCTAACTTTTTTAGTTATTTCAATATCATTTATGCAAAATCTATTTTTTGTGATCTAAAATTTTGTGTTGATCGTCATTTTTATATAACATTTCTTTCAACATGCAACATTTTGGGCACTGAGAATAAAGTTAGCTTAAAGCCATAGGGGCTTGCTGCCGGTTTCTAATAACAATTATTTTTTTTAATCATTTACAGTATCAATAAAAAAAGACGTTTATCTTATTATCGCAAATGATCTCTTTTTTTTTAAATAAATAATGATTTCATACGTTGTTTTTATTATTACTGTATATGATTTTTGTTTAAAAAATAAATAATTATATTATTACACGCCGGGGGCAACCCCCTGTGAAAAATCTTAACTTTTTACTTCTGAAAATCGATTTCTTCTTAAAATTATCTTCATCCATGAACACAAAATATATATTACTTTTAAAAAAGATGGTATTTTTATTTCATGTATTAAAAGCAGCATTCCGCTACAGAATTCACAGAAATATAAAGTCATGTTCTCATGCAATTTTTTTTTTCTCTTTTTTTTATGGAAGGGGTGGGGGGATGGGGGGTGGGGCTACAGGTATAAAAATGTTTAGTTTTTAAAGTTTGACTTTTACATCATGAATAATTTGAATTCATTTGTTATTTTTCTTATAAAATGCAGCGGTAAGTATCTGTCAAAATCTAGTCGGTCTGTTATTTCAAAATCGATTTTCAGAAGAACAGCCGATCAGATTAAAGATGACATCCGACCAGATTTATACACATTGGGAAACGGGGTAAGATTAACAGTGTACAGTTTACCGACTGGTTAGACAAAAGACCTTAATTAAGTGTCCACCGTCCCCGGTCAACTAACAGGAAACTATACACACACAACGTACACTAGCAGATTTTGATGATCAAATATTTTTTTTACAAAATTTAAATTTAACGCAAGCATATGAAAAATTAAAAATTATGATTCAGTGTAAAAGGACAATTATTTTGATACCCATTATGATACAATAAAAAAATTAACTGGATATGATATTCGAAAAAAAAGTTTTTGTTAACATAACCCGGTAACGGCGTAAACGAGAATTGTCACTAGGCCTAAATCTTAGACACAAAAACCATTAACATCCGCAGAATATCAAAACAAAAAAAATCATATGTCTTTCCCAATGATAAATTTTTTGTGTTTTATCTATAATTAATTTAATCTCAATCATGATTTAATGCTTACATGTATAAATCTTCGAACAACAGAGCGAAAAATTCATTACAATTTAAAAGCCTAACTCAACGGTTTAGAAATATTAATGTGATATAAGCCATTTAAAAAGATCCATGAGTAAAGCTGTTTATAGTTAGTTTAATAAATCAAATCAATACTTTTGAAACGTTCAACAAAATACTTTTACAAGTCCAAAACAAATTTGTGCAAAATATATATTTTTTACTATTTTATTTTCCTAAAATAATCAAGAGAAGTGTTAGCCTACTGGTTAAAATGCTAGCCACCTACTCGAAAGGTCATGAGTTCGCGCCTCGTGTGTGTGTGTGTGTGTGTGTGTGTGTGTGTGTGTGTGTGTGTGTGTGTGTGTTTTTTTACCAAATCGTGTGAACTCGGCATTTATAATTTGTGATGACAAATCACTATAATATTAATTTTTCAACCATAAAAAAACAGTAATATCGACTGCGTAATGGTGGCTTAATGGTAGCTTAATGGAGTTTGGACATTAAGCACCTGTAAGTCTATCTTAATGGTAGCTTAATGATGACTTAATCGTGGACTAAAAGCTACCATTAAGGACCTGTAAGCCACCATTAAGCTACCATTAAGCTACATTTAAGCACCCATTAAGGACTTTGAGATGGCTTAATGGTAACTTCATAGTGGTGTAAATGTTACTTAAAGGTGCTTAATGGTGACTTAAAGACAACCATTAAACTACCATTAAGGACCTATGAGCCACCATTAAACCAGGCTTAAAGGGTGTGTTTCCTCTTGTGAATGAATTTTTCAAAAGCTTTAATACTTAAGAAAATGCCTTTAGAGTATCCCGATAGTATGGAAATCGGCCATGATCTATAAAGATAAGATCTATTTAAAAGTAATTCTGGTGGAATATAATTAATTCAATTTTAATTTTTCTGCATAAAAAAGTAATAAATATGGGAACCAGTATCAACCACAAAACCCCCCAAATAAATTGTGATTCAATATTCATGTTCAGTGTAATTTATTCATGTAGGTGTGAAAGCTTTCTTCCTACAATAAATATTATTTCAAATTGTTTCTATGCGCGTACTGTTCATACATGTATAATTTTTATGACCTTCGCATCGTAAGGATTCCTGGTATACTGCTCAGAAAAAAAAAAATCATCTGCCTTTTATAGTTCCATTGTTTATTGGAAATCTCATTTCTGAGTTAGCTCCGCCCATTGAATTAATAAACCCCGCCCACTGGGACTGCTTTCTGGGACTTGTGGGACTGCTTTCTGGGACCGCTGGGAATGATGGGACCGCTCTGGGACTGCTGTGGGACTGCTCTTTGGCCGCTTTGGGACTGCTTTAAAAGTCCCAGTGAGCAGTTCCCGCGACTGCTCTAGGACTGCTTTGTGTCAGGTTGGGTCTTGTCGATACTGTACATTACTGGACTATTTTTCAGCCCTTAAATCACAAACAAAAAACTCAAAAAACGTACTTTTGTTTTGAATCCAGGTCTGTTCAGCCTCACTTTCTATTTCCAGAAGATATCCATCCATCCAAATGCAGCTATCCTAAGGGAATAAAATAAAGGGAACATTTATATTTACTTAGAGGTTTATACACAATTCTGATTTATGAAAAAAACATGTTGAATTTATATACATTATTTTAAATGAAGGTCGTTGCCATATTGTATAAATCATGCTTTCAAATTTGCAACTTGATACTTAACCTCAAACAACGATCTTACGATTACATTAATTTAATTGTATCAATTTAGTGCAAATGACTTGAATAAAAATACAGGCAAAATAGGTCGCTGCAATAAAATGGATAAATATTTTCTGTGTATTTAAATGACACCTTATTTAAGTGTCATCGGGTGAAATAATGATTTGTCAATTTGATTTCTATACCTAAGTTACTATTTTTTTTTTTACGGAGAACGTTAGAATGTTTAACTAGTTAAGAAAAATTCAGAAAATCTGGCACCAATAGATAACTAAAAATGTTCTCGTTAAAAGCACACTTTTTCTGTACGAGATGAAATTTAATCATGAGAGAAAAGAAACATTTTGTTCTTATGAAATTTTGAATCAGACATCGCGAATTGTTTGACAAGTAATTGAATTTAGACCTTTCTCTGTTTTGTTCAGAAGCCATCCCTATGTATCTCAACAATATTTATAAGTGGTTGCAATTATACTCCGCGGTGAATACATGTATGTATGGCACAAAACTGCACAGAAATGAAGCTGTTTTATTTAGACAAGAAATGCAAAACCAATCAGGAGAAACCTGAATCTGTTTATCGTTTCCAATGAAAGAAAAATAAAAGAGAACTAGATACGATCTCGTTACGAGCAACCAGGTCTTCCGTCCGATTCCGAAAAAAACCCTTAAGTTTGTAAAATCTACCTGAAAAGGTAAAAAAAAAATGTTGCACGCAAGGGGGATTGAATCCAAGTCAGCAGCATGAAAATCCAGATTATAAATATTACGTACGCTGTCGGGACCTCTGCTCTAAATCTTCTTGTATATACCTCTGTAGAACAGTACTTTTGACTTAGAATTATGAAAGGCTAGTCACTATTCATAAATTTGCGCCAAACGCCACGAGTTATAATCTTCGCGCCTTTTCTTTGGAATGTTCTATTTAATAGGTGTGATAGCTTCAATGAAATAAAAAAAAAAAACCGTTCATTAAGCCTAAAACTTGATGATTAGAAAGTATATTGAAATATTTCACAAACTCCATATAGTATATAAGGAAGTAACACTAAAACAGCGAAACGGCTATGAATTTTAAAATTTTAATTTCCTGTTTATCGCCAAAGTGAACTATCCCGGTTAGTTTAAAAATTCATGAAGAAGTTGGAAATTTTTCTCCGAAAAACATGGCTTACCTTACGACGGTCAAGGAATTGGATATCGTTTGTGCTCAATAACTTGAATAAGATCTTTGAGACAATAATGTTAATATAAACTCCATTAAGCGAACTTTAAAAAAAAATATGGTTATCTTACTTTGTCTTTTCTATTAGTTTAATATGGCACAAGTGTGCATGGGAAAAACATTGGGTAAGTTTTATACTTACCGTATTCATTGATGTTCTTTCTTGAAAAACTATGAATTATAACGATGATTAAAGATCTGCTTTTCCGTGGTGCAATCAGAAGATATTAGGTATCGAATTTCATTTGCACATTTAGTCTTTTCTATTTTTACTTTGAGAATCAACCAAAACCAATTATAGAAGACGTTTAAGAAGAATTTAGTTTGACACAGAATTGTAACGTAACTACAACGTGAAAATCCAAGTATTCCTTTACATTTCATTTGTCCTTATGTTACTTTCGATTAAGCAAATGCTCGACTGCCTCAATAAACCCCTACTGCGAAATGTCGGAGTTGACAGAGAGAGCGGCCATTTTGGAGCGCTTCAAATTTTTAAATGCTAATATCTAGAGTTTAGATTTATCAATCTTCAAACAAATTATATAGTAAGCATTATAAGAAAGGTTTTTATTAACATTCAAAAAATTAAACGAAAAATATTGAAAAACAAAAAAATGTTGAAAAATTGGACTTTTTAAATTAGCTTCCGGTAGCGAGCGGAAGTAATGACGACAAACGAAAAGTCGCGTCCTGGATAGTATTTATCATCATCTATAATCTCTGAAAGTTTCACATTGATATCTTTTACCATTCTTGAGAAAATCCGTGGACAAAAGAAATCAGAAAAAGGCCTGTAACTTGGCACCGGAAGCGAATTTCCAAAAAAATCTCTCAGATGTGTCAAACTCATTTAAGAAAACATCAGTCCTGAAAATTTCATGTAATTCCACCCAGTTGTCTTCGAGATATCGCGTCAGAAAAATTATGTTAATAATAATAAGAAACAATAGAATCGCTATAAGGTCTTCCGTTCAGACTTAACAAAAGACGGAAGACCTTAAAAAAATCACATTGAAAAAGAGCTTATTTCGTAATGTCTTATTTCCTTGGGCGGATGTTGACGCGTCATTGACCCTTTTAAGGTTTGTGGAATGCATTTTGAAGTTGCTGTAAATTTTAAACTAGCATTATGTTTACTGTATAATTAACAAGAAAGACAATGCGTATCGTATTGCATGAAATTGTAACTTTCAGACTTTTATATGAAATTAGAACTATCGGTTTCATTCTATTTTATAATGTATTTACATGTATTAGTGTATAGTATTATTAAGTTTGCTATATTCTAACAGTTTATGCTATCCGTTCCTCCGTAGTGTTCGTACGGCTGTCCATATGTCTGCCCGTCCGTCTCTTACGCTTTGGGGTACCCATCTCTCATCTGCAACTCCACTTATGCCTCCGAATGAAATTTAATGACACCTTTATAGATTCTTTGTTACATAGTTCTATTGTGCATCTCCTATTTAACCTTTTTATTGGAAACATATATTTCGGATTTACCAGAGCAAAGTATGGACAGTGTCTTTTTTGCATAATATTGATGGATTCTCTTATCCGCATCTCCTCTTATACCAGTGAATAACGGTGAATAATGGTTTAAAAGATTTTTGATCACATAATGCCAATATGCATCGTCTATTTTGTTTTTTTTGACCTGACACTTTTATCGCCATTATAATCATATGGGAGGCGGGGGCGTCATTTACTGAGCTCACGATTCATAATACTTCTTGTTTATTTCGGAATAAATGACCATCCGAGTTCCAGTTTTGCGTTCTCGTTGTAACAAACAGAGCATGGCCATAGCAGGTATCCATCAAGCAAAATTAAAGAAAAATATGGCACCTTCTTTGAAACTCTATATAAATGTTCTGAATTTTATTAACTTGTAGGCAACAACATTATTTTGTTACGGAGATCGGGTTGTCAATAACTACCAGAGAGATGAGATGTATATAAAAATGTTTTTTTTTCTAACATACACGGTCATTTTATAGGGACACACTTTCATTTTCAGCTATGCGTAGTATTTGATGAAAACGAACCTATATTTTTCTAAAGCTTTTATTTAGCTCACTTGGTAGAGTGATCGCTTCATGATAAGAAATAAGTGGGTTCAAGCATCGGCTGCGAAAAAAATTGAAGCAAATGAAACGTTACCAAAAGCTTGGTTCTTTGAAGTTGTTGGTCTATTGGTTGAGACCGTAACCCTTGTCACTGCAGGCGTTGGCATGATCAATATATTACTTTCCAATGATCAGAGTTCCGAAACATAAATTCTCACTTTGAAGCTCTTCACAGCCTTCACAGGCATATGATTAAAAATGATTACTGTAGTACTTTTAAATAATCGTAAAAAGGACATGGCACTATACAGATCGAATTAATGTATTTTTATTATAAACTAATAAAGAGCTCTTAACTTCTTTGTGAGGTTTAGATATCCAACGGAAGATCACAAATCTCCTGCCACCTTAAAAGACATACCTTGGCAGCCTGCCACTTAAGAGAATTTTTCACAAAACAATATTTCTTCTCCCCGTTTAGTTGCCATGATGTAGGACATTCTGTAACAAAGTAGCATAAATGGAACATTGGAATAGAATGAATATAAGATTATTTACAGAAATTTATCTCACTATGCCTAGAGTTGATAATCCTTTATATTGTAACACTTGTTAATTGGGTTGATATTGTTGACATTTCGATTCCATTTTGTTCCATACCACCTAGAGGAAATGTCTTCCATTTTCACTTCTGGGTCATTCATTAAATTTTCATACATTACCCTATGCACAGACATTTTTTAATACAAATTTAGGCAAATAAAACTGAAATATTGCAAATAATTCCTTTTTTAAAGATGTACGTAACTATACATATTGTAATTAATTTTCAACAAAGTATATACATTATTTAAATTAATATTTTCTTTAAAAACGTTTTTGGTTCTTTCACTTTAAGTAATTTTACACAAAGAATTCAAAAAATACATGTTTGGACACACATTTTCAAATGCGAATTGACGTATAACCCTTTACTTATTTATGGAATTTCTGAACATGAAATGGGAAGCATTTAAATATCTGCAGTTGCTCTGCAATTTTGTTTTAGTACGTCATGCGTGTATATTTCTTTTTCATTTCATCACGTCAACCAAAACATTTTAATATTTGATAAGATTTATTAATCAAGCTTAGTTTTACTGAAAACATTTTACTTTCAGTCGAAATAATCAAGTCTTGCTGTAGACTTAAAAAAAATATGATTTCGTTCTCCAAGAAGCTTTTCATTGTTTTATAGGATGTCATTTTTAGAACCCGTAAACTATTTGTTTATTACTTACTGCCATATACGCAGAATGGTTTTCCGCTACTTAGAGGCACACACTCCACTTTACACGATGTTGCCTTACAAGATCCCGCCAGCTCCTGTGAAAAGGATACATGTAGACCCATTGGTCTCAGCATTCTGTACCTTCCTTCGCCTACTTAATGTCATGAGTTAATTTGAACATTATGAATTTCTTCTTGTATTTATTTGCATAAAAATAACGCTATGAAAAGAATCCAGAACTCTTGCGTCTTGAAATATAGAAAATTCAACCCTAACTTAATAGATACCTAAACAAAGCGTAACTGTGTTGTTCTTTAAAGATTTATTTTTTTCTAATAGTGTTTTTAGCAAAGATAAAATTTGATCTCTGAATGTTTGGAGAAAAATCAATAAAAACAATCTAAGGAGCATGAACATTACTACAATTTTGTGCGGCTTTGTGAGTGTTGTTAACAATTGTTTAAATAGATTTCGATATAAGACTAATCGTTAATTGTAAACTAGCTCTATCCATTCTCATTATCACAATTTTTAACAAACTTAAATTTATTTTAGTCAAAGATTCTTGCTTAATTATAACAAAAACTAGAGCCTGCTTATACTTTAGAGCAAACATTGTTGTTATGTTCCTACTTTCAACATTGATTCCTATTGTGACCCATGATACATCAGGTTCATTGATCATGACGTTGACCTCTTGCTTGAATCTGGAGAGAATTTTGAAATATTTCAAAGAGGGGTTTAATTTTCCCCCCCAAAAATGTCCCTAAGTTTAAAAAAAAAAAATAACTGACACAATTAGTCCCATGAACAACTTCAATTCTTCACCAAAGGATGCTGTGTGACTAATTCTGTTGTAGTTACCAGGCACTGGCTTTTCATAAAGTTGAAAATGGACAAACGATAAAAGGAGACACACAGACGAGAGATGTTAGAGATCTATTGGTCAGAAAAGCTCACCCAAGATTTAGTAAGGCTAATAAGTATTTCAAAATAGGCAAGTGAACAAATAAATGACATTTAATATTCTTTCATACCGATGTCTATATGTCAATTGCCTTGAATGAAGAAATTTTTAAATGTAATACATGTATGTGATGTGCCAAATGTTTGTACATCGAACACAGTAGGTCAAGGCAAAAATACAAAATCGGGCAGAAAAAAAAGACAGCAATGTAAATAAAAATCCTTAACATTTTATCACATTAGATGCGCACATTCATACAAAAATACTTAAATGATGGTACTTTTTGTCATTTTTGGAGCAGATTAAAATCAATATAACATCTTCTAAGACTTTGCAATCCGTGTTCAAATTAAAACGAGAAGATACAAAGTGCTTTTTATTGACCTAAAAGAATTAAAAAAAAGCATACATGTAGTTTTAGTTCGTTATTTTATTTTTGTTTGTTCCCTAATCTACATCCTTATTGACTATCTTTTGTTAAATTGCTGATAATTTAGCACAAGGATGTATAGAACGAGACTGTTTCTGATATTTTCATCTTTTGTCTTTAATGAAACGATAAACAATATACAATCAACAGTATTCTAGAAACGTCGAGACATTACTTACCTGTGGCTGATTTTCCATTTCAATATAGTCACACTCTAAATCCAAAACTAAAGAGGTTCCAGATTCTCCCTGTTTTGCTGCAATTAGTTCACAATTGAGCTGTTTCTTTCGATAGTTCACAGACTTGCACTTGCGATTCTGTAAACATTTTCGAATGCACTGTTTTTGTCCAATGATCGGGAAAACATTCATGACTTTGCTAAAAGTTATACATTTGCCCGAAGCAGTCACTTTTATGTTAGATACGTTGTCAATTTGAACCAATACAGCATAATGTACTGTAGAAATAAATGTGAATAGTTTTAGTCCAAACATTGTTAATTTCTTAACAAGAATAAAATTAAGGTTTTGATTATTTCACATGTGTTCCTATAGTCGAAAGTTTTACACAATAGCATAGTTGCAAGCAAGCGCAAAGAATTTCATTGACTAGATACATTTACAAAGCTATTTATAAAGTTGATAAAAATGGCATTAAATGTAAAATATCAAACTGATATTGTCTGACAAAGATGTAAATAATTAACCATTGAAAAGAAATTAAGATTACAAAATCTTCAGAAGCATGCTTTCAAATTATATCATGAATCATGCATTATAAATAAAGTTAGAAATGAAAACATGGATAACATGGGATATAAAAAGGTGTTTCAATTACTTTAAGTATTTCATACTTAGTATAAAATACAGGATTTTTACATATTCAATATGTCTGACGTCTCAGTAGCTTTATTAGCCCTGCAGGGCTGATATGAATTTGCGGGGCTGATACGGATAAATATCACACCTAAGTAATTTAAACCTAAAAAACAGTATTTGTGATCATACACGTGTTTTGGGGGTACACATTCTCTTAATTTTAACATTTTTGAATGTAAAGATAATCTAACTGACAAAAGATTATTTTCAAACTACATACATTTGAAATAGAAGTAGAAACATACCCAAACCCTGTGAGACAATAGACTGTGCACATGTAAGAAGTCCGTGCAAGATTATTTTGTTATTTTCTTTTAAACTTAATGTGTAGTGTATTTTATTACTAAGTATGTAATAAACATAATAAAACATACCCTTTTCCACATCACATTCTGTGTCGGCCCTCTACCAATATCAGCCCTCGACCCTTCGGCTGATATTAGGGTCTAAGGATGATACAAAATTTGATATGGAAAAGAGTATGTATTATTCTAATTGGAAATAATTCACTTTCTTGTATTTCCTGATGCTTTAACCTATATGAAGTAATTCTTAGTGATTATTGGTAGAGTATTCAGTTTTTGATTGGTAGGTCCGGGTTAAACTCTCGTCCTCGGCACCACGTCAAACATAATTCATGTACATAGGTATAGGTAGTGACTACTCTTTTGCCAAACACGCGAAACTTTATTTGAATTCACTGGTCTTTCGTATGAAACATTCAAAAGGTGGTACTTTGCATGGTAGGTGTTGGTTGGAAAAAATACCCTCTCCGTTCAATGGCTCTCACTGGCATAGAATAGGGCAAAATTAAAGTAAGCGCTTCTAGGGTATAAAGTGATGTTTCTATATAGTTAAGAAATCTCGAATAGGAGTTTTAGCGACATACAATCAATCAGTCCAACGAAATAAGGTGCTTTCGTCAACTTCTTCAGATTATTATCAAATTTCAAGTACATAATGTACATGCACTTGCAAATTAATTGAGTTCTTTGAGATACAAGAAGATGTAGCTTTGATTCCTCTTTTTACATCCATTATAATATAACCTTTGTTTTCAATAAAATTGTTTGCTGTAAGAGTCTCAAGTTACCAAAAAAAATGAATAAAAGGTAAAATGGGCACAATAAGAATATTTTTTAAAGAGAAAAGACTTGCATACTGTCAATCAGATGCCTGCAAGGGCTTATGTTATTTTCAAAAAAAAAAAACAAAAACATTTTACCGATTTGTCTATAAAGTTTATAAATAATATTAAATATATATGATCACTGTGTGGCTATATGAATAGGACCTCGTATTTTTTTTAATCAAAATATTGAAATGACTCTAAAATGTAGGGGGATTTAATTGCATTATTGAAGATTTTTCATACCATGATTTCCCCTCATATTACATACTGTTGTACTACATGGAGTAATCCAAAAAATGTTGAAAACGTGAAAAAGCTATTAATATTACATAAACCTGCTGCTAGAGTCATTTTGAATATCAGAAATTTTCAAACGCCAGCTTCTGTCATGTTTACAAAACTCCATTGGATGCATCTATCAGATTACTTTATCTTTAGAAAAACCATTTATTACGTGGATTTATGCCTGATTATTTAAATGTTTTCAAATATGTATCAGATGTTAGCCAAAGACAAACAAGAAATTCCAGTTCAAATTTATTGTATGTACCCAAGGCAAAAACTGAGTATTATAAGAGATCTTTCATTGTTTCAGGTAGCAATGCATGGAATACATTGTGTGAAAACATAAGGAATTCGACAAGTGTTGTATGTTTTAAAAGAAACTATCTTAGAGAATATCATCATGCGTCTAATCTTGTTCAGTATTTTTTAATCTTATAATTCATTTTTAAAAAATCTTATATGTACTCTATTTTCTTTAAACTAGGTTTTACTAATACCTGTCTGTATGTATGTTATACTGCAGGATCATATTGAAAACTAGCATTGTTGCTAAAATATGTCATCCTGGATAAATAAAGGCTTTATTATTATTATTATTTAAGAAATAAACAACGTTATTCAGTGAACATGGCGTTATGAATAGCAATTGCTCTGCTGGCATATTCCATGATGCGCGCTAGCGCATCATGGAAAATATGCCAGCAGAGCTATTGCTATTCATAATGCCATGTTCACTGAATAATCGTTGTTTATTACTTATATTTGCATTCTTTGATTTTTTTTTTTAAAGAATATCAGAGGAAATCCTGACTTACATAAGAACGCAGCTTCTTGTCTTTAGTAAAAAAAAAAAACATACGGCTTTAAAATCAGTAAACCTGATTAATGATCCTTTTCTCTAATAAATCACAAACATTTTTTATAAAATATTTCCCTCTCAAACACAGTTATCTGGATACATCAGCGCCGACATCACATTTTTGTTTTGTTGCAGTTGTGACGTCATCGATCAACGTTTTTTAAAACCCTCTGACGAAAATCAATAATTTAATACTATGATGAAAAAAGAGAATGCTTTTATAATGATTATTACTCCAGAATGCTTTTCTATAATTTTTTTTCAGTTTTTCTATTTATTTTTAATAGCTGAAATCATTCTTGAAATAGATATACTAGTTAAAGAATTTTTTTTCTGAATGTTATTACCCAAGTGTGAAGAGTTATCGTTCTTTGTTGAAATATGCATGATACAAAAAATAAAAATATGGCAGTTCTCTAAAATTTTTAAAAAGTTTTATTATACAATTAAATACATTAACCAAAATTAAATTTTTAAAGATATAAATCAGCAATTTTAAATATTCTGAATTTCCTTATCTTCAAAGAATATTATTAAAAAGTTATTTTTATTCCTCTTATGAAACATTTCGTATATATACCCCACAACACGTACTACAAGTGTAATAGAAAATGCTCTTCACGAGTGTGATAGAGCAATTGCACTCGTAGTGGAAGCAACTGCGTATATAGTGCTATGAATGCAATTGATGACTTCATGTTCATAGTGGGAGAGTGCAGTGGATATGCAAATATTAAAGTATGAAAAGCGTAAAGCAGAGAAGAAGGACATACAAACAGATTACATACAAGTAAACACTTACAAAATGGAAAGGTTACAAAATGAAATGAGCAAGCCTTATCTTTTGTTCTTTATTCGTGTACTTTTTTAAGGAAACCAATCGACCTATTTCATAGATAATTTTTGATGTAGTGTATCGTTTCGAAACCAAGATAGATCCCAGCTCTGATGTTTTGGGGGTATCTGTGTTTGCTCTGCTCCCGTTCTGTATTGATTGAAATGAACTTCAAGCTTGTCCAATATCTCCATAATTCATTTTTAATCGAATATAATATTCACTATAAATACCCATTTCCTTTAGGTTCCATCTCTTTAACAAGGCCCGATCTACTTGATCTGCGCATACGTTTTAACGCAGCGTCGACTCAGGGACGTCACAGTACCCTGGACTGCCGTCAAAATTGAATACAATAACGTCACAATTAAGATGACGTCAAAATTGCGCTAAAATGTTTCGCTGATCTTGCTCTATAAGACTGTGCTCATTCTAGCATTTTCATTCCTTACATGTTTTTAGAAAATATTTTTTTTAATTCATAACAACTATGAAACATAATTTATTTTGAGGTATCAATTCCTTGGTACATATTCACTGATCTTTTATTTCAATTTGTGAGTTAGAAAAAAATCCCACTGAAACCAAAAGTAAACGATTTTAGTCTTCCTCCTCGAACACTGAAGTGTTTATACGCACCATTTGTTATTGAGCATAAAGAGAAAATTATGTTATAATGTAAGAATGGTTTAATTTTTAGAAACTTAAACAGTATCACAATCGTTCATTGATGTTATGTTAACCAACTGCAACTTATAAAATATTTAGTTGCCTAAAATAAGTCCTAATTTTTGGTGTTTTGATATGCCCCCTTTTCACTGAAATATAGGCTACCTCCGATTTTCTTTTCATTTCTTAAAAGAGGGATGTAAATTGCGTGATATATGTGAAAATAAAAACATTTCATCCTTTATTTTTTTTAATTTGTCAATTCCTTTGTTTATTGTGGAGTTTTAGTATGTAATTGTGCATAAAAACACGAAAAATGGTTCATATCTTGAAAGTGCCCCCATTTGACTACAGTGAAGGCAAGGTAACAACATTTCATTCTAATTTTTTTTAGCATAATACGTACAAATCTATATCCAAGAATCAAATTTTTTTATCATGCTGTTTTCGTAATTTCCAACTAGATTGGGCTTCGTTAAGAGTAGCGTAAGATTTTATCATTTGTTCCATGACATTTCGCATACTTTGAAAGTTACTGTCCTAAGCAAAAATTCAACAAAGAAAGAAATGAGAGAGAAAAACAACGAGCAGTTTAAATTAGAATCTAAATTTAGATTCATTGGCTATTTTAGCAGGTACCTGTAGTTGAATTTTGATATTTTTTTTAATTCAGAACTTATTAAAGTCTTTGTTGTCTTATCTATTTTCTTCGGCAAAGTGAAGCAAATATTTCAATAATGCAGACGTTTCTTTACCAGTTTTGAACATCTGTACACTTACTTAGTTATTTCGATATCGAATAAGGAATTTCAAAGGTATATCAGTCTATGCAGAGCTTCAGGGAATCGATTTAGACGTCACGATGAAATTGTACAAATGAATCTTGACAAATAAATTATAATTTTCTTTCTCATACACTCTTACAATCTGTGATTTCTTATGAATATTGACTACATTATTGTATACCTTAATGTGTAACTTATTATGTCATTATAACATTATTTGAATGTAAAATCAATGCCAACTTGATCTCATTGTACTGACGGGAATGACGTCATAGACCAGTTTGACACGTACAGAGTTTAGCTGAACTTGAGACGAAGATTAAGCTATTTTTGAAACTTGTAAATATGAAAATTAAAACTAAATAAGCGTGATCTCACTAAGATTGAGTCATAATTTTCAATGCAGTACTCAATATTTCACAATCTTATCAATATATAACGAATAGTTCTCTAACATGTATATAGCCACAGTCATAAACGCACTGCAATCACATGCACACCCCCTCGAAAATCTCAAAAGTTTAACGATATCCGCTCACCTGGTAACAATAAATTTTGTTATTTTATACACATGTAGCTATTGTCCCTACTATTTTGAAAAGTCCTGAGAGCAAGTTGTGGGCTGTTGGTTTTTTCCGCAATTTTACATTATTTCAATGCGTATAGTGTAAATTCACGACGTTCATCACAAGACGGCTAAATCTCATATTATTCTCGGGCATGGGGAATTTGCTCCCAGCCTTTTTCGGGTTAAGGAATTTATCTTGAAAAATACAATCAGTTACATAGTGACAACTTATCCGTATATCATTGAACCTCTACGATCTTTGTATCCTTACATATTTTGTCTAATTTTAACCATGCCACGTGACAAACAGCTGATGTACGTGAAGTTGTATTGGTCGAACTCGGTTTAGACCCCATGAACACATGTGCATTTATTGAGTTAAACTCCAATTAAATTAAACTCGTGCTCATAAAAAAATATATCAACCTTATATCGATTTTCTCGGAATATTTTAAGGCATATTTCTTATAGTGAAAAAAACTTAGCCTTAGATAGAATGTTCTATTGTTGAAATGTAATTGTCCTATGAACCTGGTTTAACAATATAATCCGTTCCATGAGTTCGTAATGTAGCAAAATAAACACGGGCGGCATATTATACTCAATGCTTTTACTACAAACAATTCAGATAGTTCAGAATGTAAACATGGCAGGTAAATTTGAAGCGTCTTTTTGTCTTTACATGGATTGTTTTTTTTTTTTTTTTTTTGGGGGGGGGGAGGCATATACAATCTTAAAAAGGTTTGCTTTCATTAATTTGATAGTGATTGAAAATCCTTTTATATTCGTCAAATTCATTTTGCTGCATGCCAGGTGTGTGGGACATATTCTAACTGTGGCGATGGCTTGTCCTGAGACAAAGTTAGATTATTCTAACTATATTAGTCTATTTATTAGAACCGTGATCCTCACAAATACACTAATTATACCCCCGATTGAAAAGTGGGAGGGTATACTTTAATCGGTATGTCCATCCGTCCGTACGTCCGTCTAACCGTCTGTCTGTTACGCTTTGGGTACACATCTCTTATCCGCAACTCCTGTTATATCACTGAGTGAAATGTAATGAAACTTTTACAGAATCTTTCATACATATTGCCATTGTGCACCTCCTATTTTACTTTTTGATCCTACACAAATTTTAGGTTTCCCATAGCAAAACATGGACATTGTCATTATATTCTTATTACGTGATATATGGCGGCTTCTGAATAACATTAGATATCACGTTCCTCTTCCTCTTTACACGTTACCGTATAAACAATATATAGCAAAACATGGAAGACGGGAGGTATCATTGAGTGAGCTCATTGCTCACAGTACCTCTAGTTTATTTTGCCTTTATGCCATTCAATTTGATTTCATTTTTATGCCTGCGATCGTGGAAAATTTCTGGAGTTGCCACTATTTGAATGTATTTGAAATTTATCATCTTCGTTTATCAACAGCGAGGAAATGTAAGCTATGTAATTGTAGATGCTAAATAAACAATAAACACGATACAACCTACACTATGCTCAACAATATATCGATATTTAAAAGAACATGTAAAGAAATTGTTCCCTGTATACTTTTGTAAGATTGTATGGTTCTTCTGATTGTTTCATGCGTTTGTGTTGTTACATGTGATGTCATCCAGGAAAGTTTAATGTTGGTAGTCGAGGCCGTGTCTTCTGTTTCTAAGGAAAAATGAAAACATTTTTTAAAAAGTTTTTTACCCCTGGTTTTTGATTGATTCTTTCCAATTATTTTTTTTTGATTTTCCGTCATTCTTTCAATTATGGTAATGTATGTTAAATGGTATGTAGTTAAATAAGATAACAAAAACACAGGAAGTAGCAAAAAGTGAAAAAAAATATATATATAGAACGCTTTAACAATTATACTCATCCTTCTTAAAATACTCTTTAATTTATTTTAATTCAAATGTCAAAATTATATCTTGATAACCTTTCTGACCCTCTACCTATAAATAATTATATCAGTAAAAATGCATTCTCCTGCATCCAAATTTTGTTAATCTTTACGGGAATTTGACCAAGATATAATAATTTTTTCGAGAAGAATACACATCATTTAAGTATCTTAAATACATATATGCTAACCTTTTGTGAGATGTAACATACATCCGTCAAAGACGTTGCAGTTTTCTTTAGAACAATTGCATTTTTCTCTGCATCCAATTCCAAACATAGGATAGTCACAGCCTGAACACAAGAAACAATTCAAGTATTCAACTTAAAAACAATTTCATCCTTTTTCTCCCATGAGTACAAAATAATTTTTTGAATTCAAATGGAAGAGTGATACGTACGCAAACAGATGTCTTTCTTTGCTTCGTATTCATATCCTCTGCAGCATATCAAAGGTCTACATATTAAAATCACAAAAAACAGTGTACCATCAGTGATACAATAAAGCATTTATTTCTATTTTTTGGATGTCTTTGGTCCTTTAAAACACCTTGAATACCGCGCGTTATACTTTGGCACAGCCAGGTGTGTTATAGGAATGAAGACATACAAAAATATGAAATCAATGCCTATATTTACATTCTTTAATTTTCCCTCTTCATAATTATTTATCTTGTTAATCTTTAAATTGAATTTCGTGCCCTTCAAAGATGGCGTGCTTAATAGACGTAAGAGCCGATTGTGACGTCAAATGATGCTGCAAAAATATATAATGCAAATGAAAATTGCGAGGAAAAAAAGTTACTATTTAATTCTAAATGCACATTTGTTGCAAAAAAATAATTTAACAGGATTATAGATCTTTTTATTAGATTGAGTCAAAACACTGTACATTTCGGTGTTCCTAGAGCATTGAAATTGCATGTAGTTCCTATTGTGTATTCTAACGCACGGTGAAAAGGTTTTGCGTGTGTTATAGAGATTTGTACTCATGGATTTCTAATGGATTTCATAAAGAAAATTACACTGAATGTTAATATTCAGATATAAATTCGTGTTCCATTTTTAGATGAATATTTTTTCAGAAAGTGAGCAAATAATCAAGATTGTAGGATTTGATAGTCGTAGCCGTTAAACTCATTTTTCTCATCATGGGGAAACGTAGGAGTTTATAAATCATTTTAACGACAAGAGATTTTTTTCTTGACTTGATGTTAGACGAAAGCGTCATCCATCGATAGACTTAGAAGTTTTTTTTTATTTAATCAAGTTGAATTTTTAAGTTACGCTTCATAGACGTGTTTTTTTACGAACATTGCATGAGAATCGAAGGAGTGATGCATGTATGTTATCACCTTGTCTTACATATATAGAGAAACTCATTCTACATGTTCAAATATTTTTAACAAGTATGCATAAGCAGAAACAATTAATTCTCATTACTTTGGGTTTGAATATCGGACCTTTGGCACTTGTCCAGTCCAACGTTGGATCTTCGTGAAGAAAAACAAGAGGCCCACGGGCCTTATAGGTCACCTGAGTATAATGAAACTTTCCAAATATTGAATTTGGTTCGTGTTTTAAACCAGATGCTATGAAATTCACAATTTTGAAAGAAGCACCGTTGCTTATCATAATTATACACTTAGAATGCTTAGTCTAGTTGCTTAATACCCAGAGTTAGATCAGAGTAAGAAAGAGAAAATGCATTTTCACTTTATAACCAGTGGTGCACCCCACCCCACAGGAACCACTGACCCTGAGGCCACATATTTCAAAATTTTGGACATTTTATCATAAATTTCATTTCATTATAAATGGTTGATTAATACCACATTCAGACCAGATTTCAAAGCATTTATTTATCTTCAGACTATGCACTGTTACCCCCCCCCCCCTCTCCCGATACCCCCGTCCCAGAGAACATGAAATTATTCATTTTGCTAGATGCACCTTTCTTCATCATAAATGTATGTACTAAGATCATTTGCATATAATACCTAGGAGCAATGGAAAAGATGTTGAAAGAATTCATGCATTTTCACTATATAATCAAAAGAGTTCCCTCCTTACACCAAAACCCCTGACAAGGGGCCATGACATTCACAAATTTGGAAGAGGCATCTTTCCTCGTCATAACTATGTAAATAGTTTATTGGTTTGATACCCAGGAGCAGAGAAGAAGGTTTATGAAGAATTAATGTTTTTTTTTTGCTATACCAATCAATAGAGCCCCACCCTAACAAAAGAACCCCTGACCCAGGGGCCATGCAATTCACAATTTTTGAAGAGGCATTCTTGGTCATTATAACTATGTTCTTAGGTAGTTTATTTAATACCCAGGAGCAGAGAAGAGGATTTTCAAAGAAATAATGCACTTTTACTATATTATCTATACAGCCCCGCCCTAACACAAAAACCCCTGACCCAGGGGCCATGAAATTCACAACTTTTGAAGAGGCATTCTTGGTCATCATAACTATGTTCTTAGTTAGTTATAATAATGCACTTTTACTATATGATCTACATAGCCCCGATCTAACACCAGAACCCCTGACCCAGGGGCCATGAATTTCACAGTTTTGGTAGAGGACTCAATGCTGATTACAGTCATGTCAACAGTTTGACTACTTGATGTCCAGGAGTAAAGAAGAAGATTTTTAATAATTGCACTAATTTTAGTGGTTTAGGCCCCACCCATTTCTGTTCCTCTTCACCCATGGATGCTGTATATCAAATTTGGTTGAAATTGGTTCAGTAGTTCCAGAGAAGAAGTTAAAAATGTTCAAAAATTTACGAACGACGTACGACGACGGAAGAAAACAGATAGCAATAGGTCACCTGAGTTTACTCAGGTGACCTATAAATCTCAAAGAGGCATCCTTCCTCCGCATAAGTATGTACATAGTTCATTGGGTAAGTATTCAGGTGCAGAAAAGAAGAGTTTTAAAGAATTTATGCATTTTCACTATATATATTCAATAAAGCCCCACCCTAACACCAGAACCCCCAACCCAGGGGCCATGAAATTCACAATTTTGGAAGAGGTAGCCTTATTCAACATTACTATATAGCAAAGGAGCAAAGAAGAAGATTTTCAAAGAAATAATTCATTTTTTACTATATAATCTATATAGCCCCTCCCTAGCACTACAACCCCTGACCCTGGGGTCATGAAATTCACAATTTTGGAAGAGACAGCATTATTCAACATAGCCATGCACTTGGTTAGTTTATTTAATGCCCATGAACAGAGAACAAGAATTTCAAAGAATTTATGCATTTTCACTATATAATCAATATAGCCCCACCCTACCACTAGAACCCCTGACCCTGGGGCCATTAAATTCACAATTTGAGAAGAGGCAGTCTTATTCAACATAACTAAGCACTTGGTTAGTTTATTTTAAATGCCCACAAACAGAAAAGAAGAATTTCAAAGAATTTATGCATTTTCACTATATAATCTATATAGCCCCGCCCTAGCACTACAACCCCTGACCCTGGGGCCATGAAATTCACAATTTTGGAAAAGGTGGTCATTTTCAACTTTTCTATGCACTTGGTTAGTTTATTTAATGCCCACAAACAGAAAAGAAGAATTTCAATGAAATAATGCATTATCATTATATGACCTGTTTAGCCCAGTCCTAGCACTAGAATCCCTGACCCCCGGGCCATAAATTTCAAAATTTTGGTAGAAAACTCAACGCTGATTACAATCATACCAACAGATTAACTGCTTGATGTCCAGGAGTAAAGAAGAAGATTTTTAAAGATTGCACTAATTTTAGTGGTTTTTGCCCCACCCCTAAGGCCCCGGGGGGGGGGGGGGGCAGGGACCATGAAATTCACAATTTTTGTTCCTCTTCACCCATAGATGCTATATGCCAAATTTGGTTGAAATTAGTTCAGTGGTTTCAGAGAAGGAGCTAAAAATGTTCAAATGTTAACACACGACGAACGACGACGGACGAAAACAGATAGCAAAAGGTCACCTGAGTTCACTCAGGTGACCTAAAAACATGCCAAATCAAGGGTATTGCCTTTTTTTAAGCCAATCGCTTTTTCTGTATCGACATTTTCAAATCCAAGAAAGTAGATTTAACACAGCTTTACTACATAAACGGTCTACATAGAAACTATGAACCGTAGATTAGTTTCTTTAAAAGTAACTATTGGTGCCATATGTAGAATCCAGCAGATATGACTATTATTGCATAAATTAAACCTACATTATGTGTATTCTGCATTGATAGTTTCATTTTAATTTTTCATAACATATTTTGTACTACATGTAAAACATTCTTATGTATTTACCAACAGATGCAAACGTGAACAAATAATTTAAGGATAATACATGTACAAACCTTTCATTTGCTTTATCAACTAAAAACTGGAAAAATAAAACTCTTAAAAATTAAGAAAAATCTCAATTAACATACCCGCTACATCGACCAAACAGTCCAGTGGTAAAACAACTAAATAAAACAATATCCCCTAAAATGAATAAAGCCACAAGTTGCATGATTCTAATCTATAAAGCGTAAATTACACATGGTTTCTCTGATATTTAGAAAAGATAGAGCAAGAACTGTGAATGTTGATCATATTTTTGATGCTTGGATTGTTCAGAGATATATCTTCCTTATGTATATCCTTCCTTATAAATCACTTTTTTTTTAAATTTTAAATGGAATATATGGAGATGACGAACAGTTTTCAAGCTCAAGATAAAAGAAAAATACAGAATTGCAGCATAGCAACCATGGACCTCCAAAACATCAGAGGTGCGATCAGGTGCCATGGAGGAGTGAGCATCTCCTGCTGACAGGTTACACAAGCTGTGTGCTACCTGTATTTATAGGGAAATAACGGAAAATCAGTAGTCAATTCAATGTGTAAATGATGGACCAACAATTAGTATGAAAAACCACTCAGCATTTATCGCAGTGATAAATTGTATTTGCTGACAAAGTCATTGTATCGACTTAGAACTTACAAAATCACGACAGTCACTTGAAACTGTTGAAATTCAAGTTTCATTTACTTGTTTGTCAATCATTTACATGTACCTCGATTTACTTGTATTTAAGGAATATAGCACTTTATAAAGAAATATTCAAAACTATTGCTAGGCAAAGAAATCCCTATCAGCAACAAATGTTTTACGGATTCTATTAATTTAGAGATCAGCGTGAACAAAACGGTGCCTGTTTTTCAATGTTTACTAGCTACAAGCTTTAGGGTCACACAGAAGTGACCTTTGACAGTGAAGTACAGAAGTACCCTTTTCGGAAACTAAACTAGTATTTTCCTTAAATATGTTACTCTAATTGTTTGGTTTTTCCAATGTCGTTTGCTCCTTTTTTTGTTTGTTTGTTTAATCTTCTGATTTTTTTTTCTAAAATGGCATTAAAGAAATTAATTTTTATCGATTTTTTTGGTATTTACATTACATTTGTACTTTGCATAAAAAATGACTTTGAAAATCTACGAAACTAAAAACAGATAGCTGTCAGAGTTTCATTTTTACCCAACAAACGTCGAATGCCATGGAAGTACAACGTCATATGCAAAAATCAAAAGAAATCAGCTCACATAAATAAGAATTGGGGCATTGGCTCTTCCATTAACTGTAACTTATCCGAAGCATAATGCAGAAATCACATTTGAAAGTAAGACAAGGAGTAAAAATGTTGCTACAAGCTATGAATCGTTATAACTATTTTTTGAGTTATAACGTTATGATAATGTAATATGTACCGTTGCAATAATGATGCTACATCATTAAAAAATAATGAAGCATTCAATTTGATTAATCCAAAAATAAAGGCATAATAATGGTGAAGATATATGTTTAAAATGACACAATTTATTTGCTAAAACTGGTTACATGTGTCTGCTTACTCGCGGAAGAATTCTCAAAACTGCATTAATTACAACTTTTACATCTTTCAATTGCAATGATAGGTAGGTTTCAAAGTGTTTTTTTATATGTATGAATTATAAATTTAAGGTTTTTAACTTATATCATTTAATTAAACACTTAGTAACCTTTCAAATCGCCTTTGAATTTATGTCTTGTTTTCTCCAATTTTTGTTGAAGTTTCATTCATATATCATCATTTTTTTTTGTTAATTTGTTATATGAATTTGTGATATGAAATTTCATGAAATGCAAGAAATCAAGTCTTGTCAACATGTAATTTTTTATTTTTGATTTTGTTTACATTCAGAAAGCAACATTCACAATTTTTACCATATTCTCTTGCCTTTTCGATATTAGTCAATATTGTTATTTTTCTGGTGAATAACAAACCATATTCAACACCAAGTTAAGAGAATCAATAATTGTTTCTTCGTTGAAAATTAAAAAAAAGATGTACAAATTACAATTTGTAACCTCCGTGTTTTCCTTTTCGAATTTCGCTACGTGCAAGACATCCAATTGTTTAAAAATATCCTGTGATAGGTTTGTCTAACATTATCCTGCTCACATACAAAGCTGGCTGTGGCCGTTGCAACCATTGTTTACAACCTTATTTGAGGTTTTGATTGTGACGTCACAATGCCGTTGCACGCGCAATGACCCTCCGGTAAATACGGCCAAAATCCTGTCAATATGTGATGTTATGAACTGTTTGCTTTTGTATAGATTACATAGGGACTATAAATATACTATATGATAATATTTACGAGGGTTGTTCGAAAATTTCGTGGACTGCTGTAATATCTTTGTTATTTGACGTCATATGTTATCCAAATTTGGTACAAATATGTTCACAATAAATCCAAAGGATTTGTTTGTTTGTCTTTTTTTTTTACAATACCACAATTTCTTTAGAACTTATCCACATTTCAAAATGCAAAAATCGGATCGCGGGTCAGGTCAAAATTTTGTAAGTTACGAACAATACACTAAATGATGTCTGTAGTCATATTCTCTGTAAAGTGAAGCAAAAATGAAAAACAACCTAGAAATCTAAATTTAGAATTGTTATTTTGAATTTGTTAGAAAGAAATCAGCTTGAGAAGATGTGTAGTTCTCTTTGAAAGCGACAAAAACATTGACGTTTTAGAATCACGGAGCAGCCGATAAAAATGCAAGTTTGTTTTACTCAGGAAAAATCCTGAATAAACAAAAAAAAAATGTTGAAGAATTGGAAAAATATCTCACAAGCGAGTTGTGCATATATGTACGAATAGTATAGACAGTATTTGAGTGACAGAGACTTTGTATCAGATGAGGACAATCTGTGAAGAAACGTTTTTCTACAGAAATCTTAACAAAAACTATTTTTAAAGTTTGAACGTCAAGGAAAAACATTTAGAGTAGCTTATCCTGTGAAAATAGACTTAAGTAATAAAAGAAATAAAAATCCTAACAAATTAAATTATACTGCGAGAGCAATTCTAAAAAACGAATTTCAAGTATTTAAACCGTTCATGGTAGTTCAGTCGGTAGAGCGCTCGCTCCGTGATCGGAAGGTCGTGAGTTCGAATCTCGGCCGAGACTGCATGACCTAAGTCGATAAAAATGGGTATCAACTGTTCCTTCTCCATGCGCTCGGCACTTTGAATTGAAAGTTGCGGGTCCTTCGGATGAGACCTTAAAAACCAAAACCCCATGTCAGCGGCAGAAGTTGGCACGATAAAGATCCCTCATTGCCCAATGGCCCTAAGTGCCGAGTAAAGGTCAAAATTTGAAGCCCTTCACTGGCATACGGTGACATCTCCATATGAGTGAAAAATTCTCAAGAGGGACGTTAAACAATATACAATCAATCAATCAAGTATTAGAGAAAGGATTTAATAATTGGTCATTGGATTACACTTTGCGAAATGTATAGGAATAGTATATTTTAGAAATTTTTGACACTATTTTGACGTTACCTTGCCGTTAAAGGTGCTCCGCGGATGCAAAACATGTTGATTTTTAAATGTAAAAGTAAATTAATTTCTGTTCAATCGAATAGAATGAAACATCACTCATAAAAAAACATTTATTTTTAAGGATTTTATTATACTTATTTTAAATTTCTAGTGAGTAATATAACGAAGATTGACATCGTCCACGAACTTCTCGAACAACCCTCGTATTAAACAAGACTTCAGTATACAGCACTCTTTTTCCTCGTTGTATTTAAATCCTCTGCAGCAAATCAAAGGTCTGTTAATGTGTTTTTTCAGTGTCAATTTTCAGACGAACATTAATATTTTTTTATTTATTTAGAAAATATCATTTGTTATGATGATTTTTTTTGTGTTTTTTTCGTAAATGTTCAATTATTTTCTATTTCTTTTATGCAAAGAAAACTAATTACAAGTAAATGACAATTCTTTACTTTTTCAGCAATTTTTTTTATCAGATTGGATAAATTTCAACTTCTGATCCAGGGATCAGGAAATATGTCTTAAGCTTTGATCAAATTAATTTTGTCATATTTAAATGTTGAAGTCATATACACCTGTACATGTATTCCTAAATAAAAATATTTTTCCGCATTATTTACCAAAAGAGATCTTATCTGCAAATTATAGATTTATGATTTTAAATTTTGATTAAAATTTTCCATGGAAATGAAAATTTGACTTAAGTCTCACATGTAGTTTGTTTCACCATCAGCAAAGGTATGTGTAGATTGTTGCACTTTAAATAATTTTGCAATATATAATTTGAATATAAATATCTATTTAAATCGAATGTTTATTTTCAACCTTGGTATGACTTCCTGTTCAAAGTGATTGGAGTACAATGCATATCGTGACTAAGAGTCTTAAGTGCCGTTTCTTGATTACATACAAAAAAAATCCTTGATCAGCCATAATTGTATTCGCCAAAAACGTTAAATCTGCAAATTTAAAATAAAATATCAAACTAAAAGATATAATAATGAGAAAAAAAACAGATTTCTAACCTGTACCACAAAAAGAAGTTTTGAAATTTTGCATTCAAACCTCATACCAAACCTTTTTATAGCCTACGAAAGACCCCTAATTATTTTGAGGCCTAAGGGCTAAAGACAAAGGTCGTTAATCCATATACGATATCTCAAGAAGCATTCAATTTTTTGCAATGCATATTATACTTAATTCCTATAGTTCCGCATTCCCTTGCCTAACCCCTTCAACCACGTGCAACCCAAGATCAGCCCAAACAAGTTCACTGGAAATACCCATTTCGTAAGCACATCATGTCTTGTCAACTTAGAACGAAATATTAATGCTCTCTAAACGTCTAAATTCCCTTCATAAAAATGTAAGTCTCGTTTTATGCGCCTGGATCGAGAGATCCGGGTGTATATTTTTGGTCCGTCTGTTTGTCTGCAAACTTCAACCTACGCTATTACTTTTGAACCATCACAGATAAAGTCCTCATACATTTATCTATTGTCAATGAACTTGTGATCGTGACTATGACCTATATGCTACAGATAACTTTTTTGTCTACAAACCTTAACTTTCAACACAACTTTTGAACCATGAACGATGAAGACTTTATATTTAAATTTGGTATGCATACTCCACTATTAAAGCTTCTTTAAATGACCGTGTGACCGTGAGTGTGATCTATATGCTAAAAGTAGTATTTTTGAACCTTCACAATAACCTACATGTACATGTACAACATTGAAAAGTCTCTTATTATTTTATCTTTTTTCACAAATGTAGTAAATAGAATAATAACAAGGTTTGTCATTCCAAAGACCCTCAGGACGCATTTCGAGGCAATTTTCTGCTGTACCCCCGTTAGGTTCACCTTTCAACCAGTTTGTGTAATTCAATGTCGTCTTTGAATATTTCCAGTGGAACGTGCCCTCCGACTCCTCGTCTGTTCCCCCCATCCACCATCTATTCCCGGAGGCTAAAATTTTTATGATATATGGAGATAAACGTATGTGCTTTTTTACAACGCGAAATGTAATAACAACGCGAAATGTAATAAACAGGGATTATTACATTGCGTAATTAATTTTGCGTCAAAATCAACGCAAAATGTAACAATACTTTTTTGGATTATTACATTATGCATTATTACATCTTCCGTTATTACATTTTGCGTTTATTTCGACGCAACATATAATATTGCAAAATGTAATAATCCCAGTTTATTTCCTTTTGCGTTGTTATAATGTTTTGTGTTGTAACAGTGCTTCGTTGAAAAATAAGGAAAATAGTTAAATATGCTAATATTCGGCAAATGATTGAAGATACATTTTGGAAATTGTTGAACAAACGTACATGTATCTATTTGAAAATTTAAATACTACTTGTAGTTCGGGAGAATTTAATTCTAATGACTCTTTTTTCCCTCATTCCTTCATATCCATATTGTTACTGTTCCCCCTAAAACTGGATATTCCGGTTACTTAAGGTAGGTCGCGGGTTTGCTTTTGTTATAAATTTTGGTACACAATTCTGACGTTTGTTTTGTGCACATTTGATTATGACATCAGTAACGTCACACAGGCGACGTTGTGTTGTTTCCCGTTTAATTTTCTGCAAATTACTTCACGTCTGCACAAATCAAGTAGATTATGAAGCATAATATTGTATGTAAACCTCGTACATGTTTTATAATTAAATCTCAATCTTATTTACGATGTGATTATATAAGATGTCCTAATTAGGACTAATGAAATACAATAACAAATGAAAGGAATAACTTATATTGTAAACATGTAAGTGTTGTTTATATTGCTAAAAGTCGACCAGAATAACTCGGCGTAAAAGTTATAATATGAAAAAAGAAAGTTATCAAAAACGAGAGGTATTGAGAGTAATGAGCTCACTAAAATTAATGATACCCCAATCTACCATATAAATATATAATCAGTGTCCATGTTTTGCTATGGGAATCCCAAAATATGTCGGATCGAAGAGTAAAATAAAAGGTGCACAATTGCAATTTATAATAAAGATTTTGTGAAAGTTTCATTAAATTTCATTCAGCGGTATGAGAGGAGTTGCTGATAAGAGATGGATACCCCAGAGCTTAAGAGACAGACAGACGTACGGACGTACAGACAGACAGATCCGCTTTTCGAGCAAGGGGTATAATAAAATCGCTTTGCGGAAAAAATGAGGTGCTGTATGCCCGCATGCGTATTACATCATGACTGCCAATCAAAGCTGGGAAAAAAATAGGGGGTATAATTTTCATGATTTTCATGATGAAATTAACCCTCATCACTGAAATTGGGTTGAATTTAATCACATGTATTTTTTCTTCTTATCATCATTATCATGAAAGTATGATCTATATCTCATTTAGTCTCCTTGTTTTGCTGGGTAACAAATTGTGAACTGAATTTAAACATAGGTAATCAGAGATTACAGAGCTCACCTCAACGAATGTTGTCTTTAAGTAAGACAAAGCCACACAATTAACCAATAAAAGGTGAACATCCAAAAATGCAAAATCTAAGCAATTTTTATCTGATGGAATAGACCTATATAAAATCTTCAAACAATTTCTGCACCATGAAAACATAATTTAAATCCAGCATCTAAGCAAGTCTGGGAGTTTTCATCCCTTGATGCATCGTTTGTGAAAGTTTGGTTTTTTATAAACCTTCATAGTTTCTTGGTAATAGACCATTGCACCCATAACTTTTACCAGGTCCATTATCTGGAAAATGTATCCCGAATTCAGCAACTGAAGCAAGTCCATTAGTGTGCATCCTAGTAAGATGTATCATCCATGCAAGTTTGCTCAACATACGGTTCATAGTTCCTTGGAAATGAAACCTATTTAAAAAACTTACCTTTTCACTAATTCGGAAAACGTAGGTCAGATTCAGCATCCGAAGCCAGCCTGGTAGAATGCAACCTTGGATGTATAATCCATGCAAGTTTGGTTATTAAAGAGGTCAACGTTACTTGGAAATTAACCCTGAACCAAAAATTAAACCTGTTCTCTCATCCAGAAAATGTAGGTCAGATTCAGCATCCAAAGGAAGTTAGGGAGTATGCATCCTAAGATGTATCATCCATGCAAGTTTAGTCATTATCACGCTCATAGTAACTTGGAAATGAATACTGCACCAAAAACATTAACCTGTTCACTCATCCAGAAAATGTAGGTCAGACCCAGCATTCGAAGCAAGACTGATAGTATGTTTCCTAAGATGTATTTTCCATGCAAGATTGGTCATTATAGGGAATTAAGAAATCCAAGATGTACTCAGTCCGGTCCATGATTAAATTCCCTGCTTTATACTAGCTTTTTACTTTTGCGCCTAAAGTAAGTGTTTTAAAGTAGCAAAGTATTGATAGAAATACGTCTACATTATGTCCTAAAATACTCTGAGTAGATTTCAAACTATATTTCAAACCTTTTGCTGTAGAAAGAAAACATAAAAACGTACTTTTGATTTGAATCCAGGTTTGTTCGTCCTCACTCTCTATTTCCAGAAGATGTGATTCCATCCAAGTGCAGCTATCCTAAGGAAATAAAATATAAAAGGATCACATATTCACTAGAGTGCTAACTCTATGATCAGGAATAAGTGGGTTCAAGCATCGGTTGCGACAAACCTAAGTTTATTTAAAAATGATACATCTGAACCTTTGCTTGGTACTTTTTAAGCTGTTAGTCTTTTGGTTGAGACCACAAAAATGTGTCAATGCAGGTTTTTGTATGATCATTATATTACATTTCAATGATCATAAGTGCCTATAAAAGAGAGGGTTTTTTTTTACTTTAAAGCTCTTCACAGGAAAATGATGAAATATAATGTTTTATAAAATCTTAAATGGGACATGGATTTTCAAAGATTGAATTATTTATACAGAGTTCTGAACCTTCTTGTGTTTTTTAGATAACCAACAGAAGATGGCAGCTCCCCTGCCACCTTTAAATACATACCTTGGCAGCCTGCCAATTTAGAGAATTGTTAACAAAACAATATTTCTTCTCTCCGTTTATCTGCCAGGATGTAGGACATTCTGCAATATACATGCAGTTGCATAAATGGAACTTTAATCATTTCATGGAATAATCATAAGGATATTTACAATAATTTTTTTTGTTGTTGATAATCGATTATTGGTCTTTATTGGGTTTATATAGTTCACATTTCTATTCCATATTGTCCCATACATGTACCACTTAGGATACTAAAAGTAAAAACAATGTCTTCCATTTTCTTTTCGGGGTATTTCATTACAAATTTATTCAGCACCCTATTTACAGAATTTCTGTATAGAAAATGAGATAATAAAACTGAAATGTAAAAAAAAATTAAAATTTTATTTTTAAGATGTATAAAAGTATACATATTTCTTTATTTAATTTTGTAACAAAATAATCACTTTTTTGAAATTTCATATTTCCTTTAAAAACAGTTTCGATTTTCTCACTTTAAACGGTTTAAAATGAAGATTATAAAGATTTTCGAGAAAACAATTGCATGGTTTAACACATATGAACAAGGAGAGCTACCAAATATTTACAATTGCTCTGCAACATTCTGTTAAAGAAAGACATGCGTGCATACCTTTTTTTATAAATTTAACTACAGGAATTAATAAACTTTAATTTTAATATACAATTAGGATTTATTTTGCAGACTTAGTTTACGTACTAACGTTTTTATTTCAGTCGAAAAAACTAATCAAAGAATTGTCAATTTTTGCTGTAGATTAAAACAAAATATTTGATTCGTTTTCCAAGAAGCTTTTAAATATTTTATAGAAATTTATTTCAGAACAGGTTACTATTTGCTTATTACTTACTGCCATTTATGCAGAATGGTTTTCCGTTACTTAGAGCCACGCACTCCTCTTTACACGGTGTCGCCTTACAAGATCCAGCCAGCTCATGAAATAGATGACCCATGAGACTCAGCGTCTTTTAGCTATATGTACCTTCGCCTATTCGGGGCCATGAGTTAATTTAAATTTCGAGGAGATGTTCTCCTATTCGTCTGCATAAAAAGTACCCTATAAAAAAAAAAAACTTTTGCGTCTTGAAATATAGAAAATTCAACCAACACTTATTGGCGTGAACATGCTTTCCTATCAAGATATTTTTTTTCTTTTAAGATGTATGAAAGCTATTAAGACAATTTTTTGCGTTATTGGATGACATCATTGACGTTATTGATTCATTGCAACATGTTGTGTTCATACACGTATAACTTTAAAACTAGAGCAAATCAAATGCTCAAATTTTGACTGTATGTCCCAAATTTGATGTAAAATTGAAATATTTAAAAAAAATTATTTATTATACATATATATTTCGATTGCATAGTCCAAGACCGTTCCTGACATATCCGTCGTTCGTTTTTAATTTAATGATAAACAAAACACAGTATACATCGATATAGGAATGTCGAGACATTACTTACCTGAGGCTGATATTCCATTTCAATGTAGTCACACATTGAGTCCAGAACTAAAGAGGTTCCCGATTCCCCCTTTTTTCCTGCTATCAGTTCACAATTTAGCTGTTTCTTTCGATAGTTCACAGACTTGCACTGGCGATTCTGTAAACATTTTCGAATGCACTGTTTTTGTCCAATGATGCTTAAAACATTCATGACTTTGCTAGATGTCAAGCATTTGCCCGAAGCAGTCACTTTTATGTTGGATACGTTGTCAATTTGATCCGATACAGCATAATGCACCGTAGAAATAAATGTTAGAATTTTTAGTCCAAACATTGTCAATTTGTTTACAGGAAAAACATTAAGGTTGTGATTATTCAAAAAGTGTTCCTATTGTCGCAAGACTAAACATCAGGCTAAATAACAAAATAGCATAGTGGCAAACATGCGCAACCAATTTCATTGAGTAAATGCATATACAAAGCTATTCAAAATGTTGAATAAAATGATGTTAGATGTAAAATATCGATCCAATATCGTCTGACAAAATATGTAAATAATTAAGCATTGAAAACAAATTATGACAAAAAAATACAGAACTTTTAAATGCACGCTGTTAAATTATGTCATGAATAATTATAATTAAAAAGAGAAATGAAAACATGGATAACCTTAGATATAAAAATGTGTTTCAATTACTTTAAATGGAAATTATTCACTTTCTTGTATTTTCTGATTCTTTTAATTACATGTATATTAAGTAATTCTTAGTGGTTAGTGGTAGGGTATTCGGTTTTTGATTGGAAGGTCCTGGTTAAACTCTCGTCCTAGGCACCACGTCAAACTGTACGAGGGTTGATCAAAAAGTAATGTCACAACTTCGATAAAATTGGTACTAGTCAACGTAAATCAAGAAATAAATTATACATGATCGAAGCTATATTTATTACAGATCAGTCCTGAAAAATTCCAATCATAAATGATTAATACTTTTCAAAATATTGAATTTTATTCAAAGTGCAATTATGGTTGTCGCCGCACCTAAATAACGTCATATGACGGATACCCGACATTAAACATTTAAACACTTCCCTTCATTTCATTTAAAATATTTGAGACTCACAAACACAACCACATAATTCACTTTCTTTAAGTATTATTGGCATCTTCGTGTATTGTACACTCACTCTCTATATATAATTAAGTTTTCCATTGTTTTCTGTCAAAATTCTTTGAAGCGTACCATAAGACAAATTAAAAAAATTCTCTTATTGCTCTAACCGTGTCAGGTCTTTCTTTTTTGACAACGTTAGATACTGTTGAAGGCTTTCAACCGACGTCCATGTTTCGGTCTTCCTCTTCTCTGCTGATTATTTAATGAACCATGACCTGTCTAAAATCACTGAAACCATATATAAACAAGTCTACATTTAAATTTTGTCCTCTGTGTCTGATTAATCATTGTAACTGTCTCTACTGTCGATTTCCCCATTCTGAAGCAAGGATATGGAGATAATGAACAGTGTTTAAGTCCATAAAACAATACAAAACAAGAGCAGAGCAAATACGGACCTCCGAAACATCAGAGGTGGATCAGGTGCCATGGAGGAGTGAGCATCCCCTACTGGTCGGTCACACTCGCCGTGTGCCCACTGACATGATCGTGAAATAACGGAGAAATCCGTCGTCAATTCAGTGTATAAATAATGGACGAACAATTGGTATGAAAAACGTCAGTCAGCATTTTATGCAATGATAAATTGTATTCGCTGACAAGGTCATTGTATCGACCATTGAACTTACGAAATGATAACAGTTCGTTTTAGCGGACATTTACTTTGTCCAATACATCAGATTAAAACAAGAATATTTATGATTAAAAAGCAGTGACGTCATTTTATTTTCAACTAAAGGCTAAAGGTGTCGTTTATTTCTGCTTTTCAAATTATTGGGCGATAAAAGACGCTTTCTGGATGCTTTTTGATGTGTTTGTTTTTTTCATTCTCACAATATACACTTTAAAACGTGACGTTTAGCTGAGCTGTGGCGACGCCCCTTATGTTTAGTGTTTTCAACTTATATAAAATTAAATCGCTTAAAAATAATTCTTTGAAATATTCAATTTTCATTAGATATATTTTTATGCATCTTTTGGTAAATAACATTTGATGATAGGACGCCAAATATTAAAGTGGACAAAGTGACATTACTTTTGGATCAACCCTCGTACATAGTTGTATGTAAGGAATACTCTTTTGCCAAGCACACGAAACTTTATTTGAAGTCACTGGTCTTTCCTATGAGACATTCAAAGCGAAGTACCGTGCATGGTAGGCGTTGGTTTGAAAAAATACTCTCACCGTTCAATGGTATTTATTCCATAGAAAAGGAAAAAATTAAATCAAGCCCTTCTAGAGTATACGGTGATGTTTCTATATGAGTTAAGAAATCTTGAATAAGAGTTTAGGCGACATACAATTCATCAATCAATCAATCAATCCAAAGGAAATATTGTGCTTTCATTAACTACTTGAGATTTTTATCAAATTTTAATTATATAATGCTCATTCACTTGTAACGTGCCAAAATTATTTGAGTACCTTGAGTTACATGTAACTGTAGTTTTTATTCCTTTTTTCCAATCATTCAATATAACCTTTATTTTCATTGAACATTTTTTTGCTTAAAGAGTTTCAAGTTACCAAAAAAAAAAAAAAAAAATGAAAAAATGTAAAATGGACACGATTTCAATATTTTCAAAGAAAAGGACTTGCATACTGTCAATCAGATGATTGCAGGGGCTTATGTTATATTTTTTAAAAAAAATATTTAACCAATCTGTCTGTAAAGTTCATAAATTATCTTAAATACATATGATCACTGTGTGGCTTTATAAAATAGGACATTGTATTTTTTATATTAAAATATAGAAATGACTCAAAAAAGAGGGGGATTTAATCGTAAAGTTTAATTTTTTCTCGAAAATTTGCTGGTATGTAGTTATTTTATATGATCGAAGTAATAGTAGGGTATACGAAAAAGTAGATCAGCAAAATCGAGTACCTCCTTCAAATTTATAATAAAGGAAAGAAAAAATCTCAATGATAAAAAAGAAAAAGTTAATGTTTTTTTGTTGCGTAAAATGAATACGTTTAAAGAAATAGTCCATAAGACGTGTTTTCCCTTAACTGGTTGACAGTGTCATAACCAAGGTCGACAGGTCAGCAGTTGTTACGTGCATCTATTTTAAAAAGAAAAAAAACTTTTCGCTCAAAATAAATTTCCAGATCTTAAATGTCGTCAGTTGACACCCAATCGGGATACTATATTCCTTTAATACGAAGGTCAACTGTCAACTTGTCTACCTGTCAACTCGCCTACTGTAGATGTCGACCTGTCAACCTATCAACCCATCGACCCGTTCTCCTAAATACATGTTGACTTTCAGGCAAACATATGTCAACCTGTCGACCTATGGACCAGTTATTCTTTAAACTTGCAACCTGTCTCCCTGTCAACCCGTCAACCCGTCGACCTGTTTTTCCTGAATACGTCTTGATATTTAAAGCATAATCGAACTATCTGTCGACCTGTGAACCAAAACTCGTCATTTTGTCAACTTGTCGACCTGTTAACCTGTCTAACTATCCAAAAAAAATTAAAATTGTTAAAATGGCAAAGCCGAGGTCAATGTGGATATTTTTCTGTGAATAACAAAACATATTCAACATCAAGAGAGTCCATAATTGTATAATATATCCTAATTGAGCCAGTCCTATTACCTCCTCAGACCGGAGATGCATGTTATGAGACACTTGTTGTAATTCAACGACTACTTATTTTCAACGAAGCAATGGTGTTTGAAATTCTTGTGGTAATTGAAATTTACGAAACATGCAGGTAACAGTTTATAGCTTAATATCTATGCTTTGTTTTCATCCAAACATTTTAATTCGCATTTCCTTGAGAGAAGAAACACAGGATATTGTTACAAGAGGAAGTAATAAGTAAATTGTTTATATCTTGCAAGTAATGGAAAAATTAAATATGCAAAATTTAATAATGTTCTCTATTGATTTATCATTGCATAAAAAGGTCAGTTAAACATGACAAAGCGATCAGCTGCTTATAATGGCTTTCAGTCATCTGTGAAAGTTAATTTTTCTCTAGTAGAATGTTCATTTGCTTTTACATGCATTCAGCGACATTCGACCCTCTTATCCCGTTCTATTGCAGTTTTTTTTTTCTCTTCTTTTATTACATACCAAGATTTGATAAATTATAAATACTTCTAGCAATAAATTTCTAAAAAGTCATTTGTATAAAGGTTTTAATTAATCGAAATTTGAAATTTGTTTAATAAGCATTAAAAAAACTATGAATGAAATATGTGTGTTTCTGAAAAAAATAAATTAAACAATTCTTTCCTTTTTTTTCTTTTTTGTAATATTTTGTTTTTCTTTCATAAACAGGCCTGGGGTTTTAAAACTTAGACGAGCTCACTTTTAATCTCAGTCTCACTTTTCTACTATTACGTCTTTAGAAAAAGTGAGACAGAGATCAAAAGTGAGCTCGTCAAAGTTTTATGGCCCCCAGGCCAGGTCTTG